ATGCTGTGACATAATGGTTTAAAATTCAAGAGTACTGATTTGAATAAAACTCATCAATCCCAAGCGTTTGGACTAGACATAGCATAAAAATACCATCCCTGCTGAAAAACCGGTTTTCTAACACAATGACAACAACAATTTTCTGAGATAAATTCAAAGAAGCACATAAATAATTTTGTTGCCATTTTTTGATTTGGTTAGTTACGTCTCACTCGTTAGTAGCCGTTTTGGTTACTGGCTGTAGTGTGCGTGCAATTAAACATGGATGAATGTCGCTGCGTAATGGATCAACTACTTAAAAAGTCATTCTCCTTGTATAGTTTTTAAGGAAAAAAAGGATATCATTGAAAATGGAAGACCAACGCTTACTTTAGATAATTTTAAAAAGGAATAAAAAAACGTACTTTGATATTTTAAATTAAGTTGGTATATGGAAACTATTGGTTATGTGGTTGCAAAAAAACAGATTGTATTGTTGGCGATGTCTTCTGTTTTATACAGAAAAACGTGGGTGGACCAGCAGCGGAGTCAACGATTTAAATAGCTTTAGGGCTCTAAAGAGGAGACATGAAATTTCTCCGTTACATGTGAGATGTGTAGCCAATTTAATTCAGTTTGGCAAAACAAGAATCGAAAGTTGTCTTAAACAAGCTTCTGGCAGCACACTTCTAGATACCGTATGTTTTTTGGCAAAACAGGAATTACCGTTCATTTTGAAGGGGATGACTCTGACAATAGAGGAAATTACAGGGAATTGTTAACATTGATTGCCAAAGAAGATCAAAAATTTTCCGAACATCTAGAAATAAGCAAACAATTATATTTGGGAGGTTCAAAATAAACTTTTTTTAATAAGATTTTTCACATCTGGTTTTGGTAACAGTTTAGGAAAAGTCACGCGTCGCCACTGGTTCCTGCTATATTTATAGATTATGAATTAGGTCACTTTTCCTAACGTATCATTACTTTGACTGAAAAGGATTAGTGCAAACTTAGAATAATTTAGATTATAACTAATATGAAGCTTTAGCATAACTAACACTAATATTCTATGAGGTTTAGATATGGAGATCAAGCAGACCATTGAGGCATCTTTTACTTGTTCAGTGTTCACCAAAATGCTACATGTAGCCGGACAAAAAATTACTTTTGTTTATATGAAAGATAGTGTATGACAACGAGATCGGTATCTTGCATGCTAGCTGCAAATTCCTAGTAATTGTGAAGTTCTGTAAATTGGGAAGCTTCACATGTAATTTTTGCTCATATAAAATATTTTTAATGTAAGCTTGGTGTTTTCGCTTCTTTGTAAATTGTCAAAGGAGAGTCTACTATTTGAGTTTCTGATGATCCAAAGAATCACGTCTATCTGTCCGCGAATCCGTGGTCCGTACTTGGAAAGTACCTTTCGGATTTTGATGAAATTTTTACACTAGGTTACTCCTATGCGAAGGACGAACAGGCTCTGTAGGATTTGAAAATCGGTCCAGTTATGGGGAAAATAAAAAAAACTACGTTTTAGAGGCTCATTATTTTCAGAATTATTAGTGGTTGATGGTTATAGTAGTAGTTTTTGGCGTGCGTTAGTATATTTATGCTTCTAGCCGGGATAATTCTGCGCACCCATTAGACATATATTGGTAGTTACTAAACCAATCCTTTTAATTCTGCTTTGTTAATTCAGCAGTTGATTCGGCCTCGTAAAAAAAGTGTTTCAATGTTAGGGAGTTTTATACACTTTTCACCCTGTTTGGTTTATTAATTTATGACCTGCATTAGACCACTCTTCTTCCTTATAGCCTTATTTACTCGTAATGGGCCACCAAAACGTAAGAAAATGACATCGCTATAGCACGTCACTTTATATCGAAAAAGCCCATGCACGCAAAATTCTCCATTTTCATAGTTAGCAGTGATCGGTATGTCTTCTGCTCTCCTCTCCGTTTGGGTACCAGACGAAATGCCTTTATGTCTTCCTAGCTGCAATACTATGAAAACACCCCTGTGGAAAATTTTTTGTCACTCCACTGGTAAAACGCAGGGGACAGCACATCCTGAATATAATGTTGATATATCTTGTGTTTTCTCTCTGATCCGATATGTGTATGTATAAAGCAATGCATTATTTATGTGAAAGGACGAGGAGCCTGGTTCCAGATCCTCATATATATATATCGGCTTATACTTCCAGCGAGCAGCATTTTCATACTTTAAAAGGGGATTCGCTAGCGGAATTCTTCCAATTCGATATAGGAATCCCTATAGGTACAGCTTGACAGGTGTCCGACGAATCCGGAACTTTTTGTTTTGTACGTACAGCAACTTGTTAAAAGTTAGATGTAAGAAGGTCTCGCCTGAAAGTTGTGGGATTATGAAATAAATTCTGGGTATACCAGTATGTATATTTTCACATCCTTTGAATCTCCTTCCTACAGGCTTTTTTTGATATAAGGTTTTTGAGGATTTGTACGGCTTACAGCTCTAACATTTTTGAAAATTAGACTAAGGTAAATGAGAAATACTGCATTTCATTTAAACGCAGTTCAAATGACCTCTACCTGATACATTTTGGATCGTTAAAACTGAATTATTTCATGTTCATTCTATTATTTAGCGAAAAATTGCAAAACTATGCGACAATCTACAACTTGAATGTGCTAAAAATCAATTTTCTTTATTGGAGACTATATATGTGGACGACGCTTTGTACTACATTGGAATATCTTCGTGAAAAATACCTTAAAGATGCTCGACTGACCCATTTTTGAAACAAGTAACTAAGAATTAAAAGGCTTTAAGTGCGATTCAGCTAAGAGAATGTTCCACTGGAATTTGAGAACTGTTGATCACCCTGTCTAAACTATTCAAAAAACTGGAAAAGTAGGTGGACGGGGAAAAACAAGGCATCATGTAATTTTTTTGACGAAAAATTCAGTTCTCTAGCTATGACAGATGTGGAAGTGCGATTTGTCAGGGGCGAGTATAGTTTTAAGACGGATTGACGAATATCTCAAAAATTTGAAAATATAGAGTGTTATATCAAACTGGTTCGATTGAAATGACGTATCCAAATTTGTAATACAATGTAGGACTTTCCATTTAAAAAAAAAATATTTATGGGTCACCACGTAGTTATGAATTACCCTGTAGAGATATAAATATTTTCCAAATTAGAAGCATACCGTTGGCTACAATTTTTGTATTCAACTTTCTTCGACCGAGACCACACTAAAAACTCTGCCTTAATGTACACGTATCGACAAACGCAACATCCATAGCTCGCAATACAACTTCCGAGGCCGCGACTCGAACCCGCAAGCCTTTGAGCCGATAAGCTAGCAACACATCTAGCTAACCAGCCCTTTACTCAATATCAACAGCGCAGTCTTAAAATTGCTCTACCGGTATAGTGAAAAATGAAGCACTAATATCTTCTTTGTTGGGATATTCCACTTCTTATTAAGAATTTAAGAATATTTCACTAAGTAGAATCCAGGGGGGCATATGCCCCCTTCTCCCCCTCCCCCCAATGGGCGCCCATAACTGTATGTACGATCAGAAGTTGATAGAAAATGCGATTCAAATAAATATTTGCATCATCGTCAGACAGTTGTCCACCTACATTCAGACAGACAACAAAATACGGGATGTCTTTTAAGTTTTGCATATGGAAATAAAACAACACGGTAGGTAGTTTTAAATGACTACTATTTTTCGAAGTATTCTCCACATCTGCATGCGCTCGAACCAATTTTCGAAGCACTTATCCCACTCGTTTGCTGGCAGATTCAAAACACCATTTTTGAATGCGTCAACTGCTTCTTCTGGTGACTGGAACCTTTGACCACGCAGTCTGTTTTTAATTTTCGGGAAAGTAAAGAAATCGTTAGGAATTGGATCGGGACTATATGGAGGATGGTCCAATAATTCCACCTTTTCTTCCGTTAAATACTGCCGTGTTTTTTGGGCTGTATGCGAGCTTACATTGTCTTGGTGGAGGATGATTCTTCTTTCGGGGTTGATTTTTCGAAGTTCGGTGATGAATTTTGGCAAACAAATGGTGGAATACCAATCCGCAGTAACAGTTCTTTGCTCATTAAGAGGAATTGTTGCAATATGACCCGCTTTTGACACAAATGTCGCGACCATCTTTTTCCTAACACTCAAGTCAAGCATGTTTTGACACAAATTAAGCCTGGCTGCTTTCTGCTCTTCAGTCAACAGGTGGGGCATCCAACGAGAAACTAATTTTCTTACTCCTAATTCATCATGTAAAATTTTTTGAATTGAGGTCTTTGAGATCTTCAAGGACGCCTCAGTCTCGCGATATGTCACATGTATATCTTCAATGATGAGTTTGCGCACAGCATTGACGTTTTCCTGGGTAACTGCCGTTTTTGGTGCACCCACCTTCGGATCGTCGCTAAGACCCACCCTTCCACGTTTGAATTCTCCATACCAACGGGAAATTGTCGAATGATGTGCTTCATTGCCGAAAACAGACAGTAACTGAGCAAGGCATTCTTGTTGCCATAATTGTCTCTGAAAGTTATAATAAATTATGGCGCGAAAATGTTCTCGGTTGAGTTCCATTTTTCTAATGACTTGGTGACACTTATAAATTCACTGTAGTGAGAACACTGCACGTATTGTTGTGAAACTTTGAATTTAAGTTTACTGAAGAGTGAGGTTAAGTTTCAGTACTGACGTTCGATCCGCGCGGCCTACTATGTTTCTATATGCAAAACTTAAAATACATCCCTCGTACATTCTGAAATATGCAAGCGCGAACCAGCCATCCCAGTTTCAGTTCCAGTCCAGACGTCTCAGTGGAATATATTGTATGGAAATCGCTGGACAAATTCGGCAGTGGTCCGGCATATCGAACTAGCATAGCCAGCAAGTTTGTCAATAATGCTTGCGATGTTACTCACCAAGGACCGACAGACCAAAGAGAAACCTCTCGACAATTTTCTGAAAAAAGTCTGTGTTTTTTGCAGATAGAATCATTCGCGGACAAGGAATGAGTGGTATTCGGAGCGATGGCGACATGGTTTTGAGTTTTTTTCAGTAGCTTGTAGGACATTTTTTATTCCAATGGATGTAAAAAGTGTGGAATTTATGTGTCTTCTAGGAGTAAGGAATACAACTGCCATCTATCTTTGTGTCTAGCAAAATAACAGAAATAAATAGAGTGACGGGTAGTTATATTTCTTATTTTTTACTCTTATCTCCTTCATCATATACCTTCAATGGTTATTAATAAATACAAGAGAAGATAGAAATGGGACGAAAAAATTATACTGCCCAATTCGGTGAGTTTGAATTACGAAACCGTCAGAAAATCTGGAATTTGCAATAGTCATTCCATGCGATTAGTAAACAGACGAAATTATCAGAATTACTCTATGTGTTTAATTATATTTATTTTACCCGAAACATATTGATTCCAGCTCGAGATATCTTGTTATCTTGTACATGGTAAATCAATTAGATGTATTTTATACTCTGAACCAGTTATTTAAAGGAACACAACGAATCCTTCTATTTGTGTATATGAAGCACATCGAGGACTTGAGCTGCTCCTCTCTTGTGAACGAACGTTTGCTTAATTCGATTTTGCATGTAGTTATTGTGACTTATACCCTTTCTATCATATGTAAATGTGTGACAGACTATATTCTAACTGAACCAAAATTTCCATTACAGTGAAACTACTTTTGTATTTAAATACCTCTGTTACTGGAAATCTTTAAACTGTTTTAATTGAAATTTAATTTCTTAGATTCTTTTGATGTTTATTCTTTGAAGCTCAGTAGTCCGTATAAGTGAGACGTGTTATCAATTACAGGCATGATAGGCGAACGAAAGCATCATGTTTAGTTTATTCAATGGCAAACCTACTATACAGCCATAATCGTCAGCCATCTAGCGGTCACGTGGTGACTGGGGCTATTAAACGCGAACTGAGAATCTTTATAGTTACAACAAATAGCTGATATGCACTCTCCGCAGTGATCGATTTTGGCGATAAATGGCGCTTTGCGCTTCTTATGACGATAGACAATAAATTACCTCCTGAATATAGAGCGATGCTTTCGTTCGTTGCCCCACAGACAAGAGACCAATCATAAACCGTGCTGTTGTTTGGTTCCATGGACGAAAACATGAAAACCTTTAAGTGTTAAATCCATGATCACCATTGGCCCATTCTGGCAGAAATCCTAACAACAGTATGCTTTACATCTCTGATAATATTACTTTCAAACTTATGTTGTCCTCCTATTTTGATCAATAACACCTTCTTATTGATTTTCTGAGTTCCGTAGGAGGTAGGGGAGGAGTTTTCCCCCTGTTGAGATTTTTGATCGCCACGTTGAAAACTACCTCTATGCATTCCATGCATAATTTCAATTAATTTGCCATTTTCCATAAAGCTCTTGACTAATAAGAGAGTTCAAAGTGAGTAATCACATTCCAAGTTGGGGCCCAGCTAACGTCTAACTGTCACTTTTACGTTTGAAGCATTCAATTTCATCACCCAAAATTTTAACTGGGGGACGTAACAATATTGTACACTTTACTGCTTTCAAAACACAGTAAGTACTTTACTTTGATGAACAAAAAGCGTCCTAGCGTTCGTCCGGTTTCGGTGGCTGGTCGCGTTCTGCCAAAGTTCACTTCGGCTGGTCGTAGTCCATATCAAGGACTTGATTTGGCACGAACACATCACGTTAACAGGGGCAGCTGCGAGAAAAAAGCTACGCTGTTAGTTTAGGGCTAAGAAGTACTTTTCTCCACATGACCGTATTCAATAAGGCCCAGATAAGACCCCGCCTCGATTAGTGCTCACATGTTTGAGGTGTTGCCACCCCCACTACATTATCCATGTTCGATTACTCTTCTCTAACAGACTCAGACAGCTCTCTATGCTGCCGCCGCGCGTTGTGCCTGCCAGACAGACTCGCCTGACTTCCGCCTCCCATCCTAACCATGTCAAACTTCGTACATCCAGAACTGGCCAATACGACCGCTCCTTTATTCCTAGCGTATCGAGATTGTGGAACGATCTATGTGGAAAGGCTTTTCCCAGTTCTACTAACCTTAGGCAGTTAAAAAATCGGATACAAAGTTTATTTGGGATACTCATAGCAGCCGCTGTGTCCTGGCGTTTAGATTGCTGCCTGCGAGGCTGCTCCGGTGCAAAAAACATGACCCTCTACAAAAATAAGGTGGAGGAGCTTTTTGGAAAACCCTGTATATTCGTTATAGGGTAGAATGGTCTTACAAAGTTCCATAAATGTTCATAAAACTCCTTATACAGGGTGTTTCAGTTTATTGTTGCATAACTTTAAGATTCGATAGAACTTTCAAAATTAATGCATAAAGTCTATATAAACATGGGACGAAAAATGCGTGGCTTCCGAAATACAGGGTATTTAAATTTACTTTCTAAAATAGTTTTTTTTAAATATTTCGAACAATATTTGATGTATAACAGTGAAAATTGGTATACAAAGGTTTTTTGGTACGACAAAACGAACCATGGGCATAGTTTTACTGTAATGTATTAAAATGACCGAAACAACTGATTCTTCGCACTTTTCAACATAAAAAAGCTCTCCTGTGAATTTTAGTTATAGTTAGCCGTTTTTGAGATATTTCGATTTGTAAGGTTCGATGCATTTTTAATTATTTATGGGAAAATAATATTTTTTTTTACATTTTCGATTTGGGCATTACAAGTAATTAAGATGATCGTTTAGATTATGTTTTTAAACACAGCAATAATTCCTAACTCCAAATAAACACAAAAATATTATTTTTAACAAATTAAATTAATTATTTACAACTAAAATGCTATTGGATAGTTAGGACAAACATACAAAATCTAAAGTAGTTGCTCGAAATGTAAACCCAATTGTTCAATACACAATTCACATCTACGAATGGTCGAACGTGGTATAGCATTATTCAAATAAGGCCTTATTTCATCACATGCATTCCTGATTCTGTCTATTAGCATATCTCTTGTGGTTACGGGAGTCTGGTACACTTTTTCTTTTAGAAATCCCCACACAAAGAAATCTAATGGATTTAGGTCAGGGGATCGTGGAGGCCAGGCGACTGGTCCTCCATGGCCGATCCATCTTTCTGGATAATTTTCGTCCAGCCAGTTTCTAACTATTCTCGAATAATGAGCTGGACAACCATCAAGCTGGAACCAGGCCAATCTTCTTAAATCTAACATAACATCATCCCACATATTTGCATGTTCAGCCTTTAAAAATTCCAAGAAGGTCGCAACATTTAACCTTGCAGGCAAAAGGTAGTGTCCAAATAGTCGATTAAGGTAGATACCAATCCACACGTTCACACTAAATTCATGCTGAAAATTTCTTTCCCGAACTGCATGCGGATTTTCATGCGACCAAATATGTTGATTATGAAAATTTACCACTCCACGTCTAGTGAAGCATGACTCATCGGTCCATAAAACGTTACTTAAAAACTCCCTATTATTATCAGTTCTATCAAGAATCCACTGACAAAATGTGATTCTTCGTTCTCCGTCCCCTGGCTGTAGTCCTTGCACAGGTTGCAAATGGTAAGGACGTCTATGGTCATTTCTAAGAACACGGTGAACATGGCTTGCTGAAATTCCCAAGGAACCAGAAACTCTCCTAACACTTGTGGTCGGATCTCTATCAAACTCACGCAGAATCATACGGGTAAATATGCGCTGACGAATATTTACGTTTTGATCCCTTTGGAGATTTCCAAAACCATTTTCAATTATTTGGCGATGCACTCTTACAAATACTGAGCGAGTTGGATGTCGTCTGTTTGGAAATCTTCGTGCGTATTCTCTGGCTGCTTCTGCTGCGTTTCCATTTACAAAGCCATACACAAAATGAATATCGGCTAACTCTTGATTGGAGGATAAAAATGGCATCTTTATAAAACTTACAAAAAAAAAAACAGGTAACAGAAACTAAATTTCGTGCATTCACAATTGCAAAAAAACGTTTCAGGTTTCAACAGACAACAAAACTAACTGTCAACTAATTGACGTTTAACCTTATTATGCTTTCAATTTCAAAAATATATGCAGGCACAGCCTACTTCTAAAAATTATCGAGATACTGACTTTTTAACATTATTTTATCATAGATAATTAAAAATGCATCGAACCTTAAAAATCGAAATATCTCAAAAACGGCTAACTACAACAAAAATTCACAAGAGAGCTTTTTTATGTTGAAAAGTGCGAAGAATCAGTTTTTTTATTCAAAAAGCAAAAAATTGCACTAAGAAAAATTTTTCGGTCATTTTAATACACTACAGGTACAGTAGAGAGCGCCCTCTAGCGGCTACAGTAAAACTATGCCCATGGTTCGTTTTCTCGTACCAAAAAACCCTTGTATACCAATTTTCACTGTTATACATCAAATATTGTACGAAATATTTAAAAAAAAAACTATTTTAGAAAGTAAATTTAAACACCCTGTATTTCGGAAGCCACGCATTTTTCGACCCATGTTTTTATAGACTTTATGCATTCATTTTAAAAGTTCTATCGAATCTTAAAGTTATGCAACAAAAAACTGAAACACCCTGTATAGTCAGAATCACGAAAGATGACTATTACGTCATACCATAAATTGTACTGAAGTAATCAATGGACGTATGTCGATGATAAAATCACGATGCCAGGAATAATGACAATAAATTTATATTATGATTTTGCGAAGTTAGGTTATGATTATGATTATTTTTATTTTCATTTTATTTCATGGTTTCGAGTAATAATATCTTAGTGGGGAGTTTTTGTTTTGAAAAAAACAGTTATGATTACAATACCTTAAGACAGAAACACCAAAGACCAAAGTATTATTTGAAAACAACCTAGCCTGCTTTAACATAACCTAACTATTCATCTTTCAAATATGATCTATCATGCAACATGGAAACATCGTCTATCTTTGTCGGATAGATGTATATTAGCAATACAGTTTGTTTAGACAATAAAATTCTGTCTGTCTCTGTCTAGCATATCTGAAACTTCATTAAAAATATTCACAAATCGCTGTCGTTTGTCTTTACTACAGACTAAAATGATGACGTTATCGTCATCTTTCGTGATTTCGACTAGAGTTCCTCTCCTTACGTTTCGTAATCCTACTTCAAACATTAAT